AATCTTTGAGTATGTTTCATTGATTTTGTCTCTTTTGAGAAAATTTATTTTGAAAAATCTTTGAGTTTGTTTCTTTGGAAACAACATTTACCATGTGTGAGTATGTTTTCCTTGAAACAAAACCCATCTTTGATTATTTTTCTTTTGAAACAAAGTTTTGTCTCTCTTGAGACAGTTTTTCGTAAAAAAATATATTTGAGTTTGTTTCTTTTAACGAAATCATCTTTGATTCTATTTCTATTAAAACAAATTTTGTCTCTCTTGAGACAGTTTCTAATGAAAAATCAACCTTTGAGATTGTTTCATTTCGAGACAATTTCTTTTGAAAATACCCACCTTTGAGATCGTTTCTATTAAAACAAATTTTGTCTCCCTTGAGACAGTTTCTCTAGAAATACAAAATCTTTGAGTTTGTTTCTCTTGAAATAAAACCATCTTTGAGTCGTTTCCCTTAAAATGAATTTTGACTCTTGAAAAGTTTTCTCTTAAAACAAGATCATCTTTGAGTTTGTTTCTCTGGAAACAAGGTTTTATCCCTTGAGATAGTTTCTTTTGAAGAAAAATCTTTGAATTTGTTTCTTTGGAAACAAAATTTTGTCTCATTTAGATACAATTTTATGAAAAACAAAGTTTTTTCTCTCTTGAGACAATTTCTTTTGAAAAATCATTAAATATGTTTCTTTGGAAACAAAATTTTGTCTCTTTTGAGATAGTTTCTTTTAAGAAAAATCTTTGAGTCTGTTTCTTTGGAAACAAAATTTACCATCTTTGAGTTTGTTTCCCTTGAAACAAAACAAACAAAATCTTTGAGTATGTTTTTCTTGAAACAAAAACATCTTTGAGTTTGTTTATCTTGAAACACCGATCTTTGAGAACGTTTCCCTTAAACACAAATTTTGTCTCGCTTAAGACAGTTTCCTTTAAACATCATCTTTGAGTTGTTTCCCTTGAAACGAATTTTGTCACATTTTCTTTTGAAACACATCACCTTTGAGTTTGTTTTTCTTGAAACAAATCTCTGAGTCCGTTTCTTTTGAAACAAATCTTTGAGTCGGTTTCTCTTGAAACCATAGTCCCTAAAGATGGCTAGTCATCCTCATCACGTAGGAACCGTGTCATCCCCTGACTAAACCTCCTCATCACGTAGGAGCCGTGTCAAGCATAGATAACTAGTCGTCCTCATCAAGTAGGAACCAAGTTATCACCACTCCTAAAGATGACTAGAACTCTTCATCACGTATGAGCCGTGTCATCCCCCGACCAGATCTCCTCATCGCGTAAGAGTCGTGTCACCCCTAGATAACCATTCGTCCTCATCGCGTAGGAACCGAGTTATCACCCTTCCTAAAGATGGCCAAGAACTCTTCATCACGTATGAGCAGTGTCATCCCTCGACCAGATTTCCTCATCACGTAGGAACTGTGTCACCCTTAGACGACCCGAACTCTTCATCACGTATGAGTAGTGTCGTCCCCAACAATAAACATTATCCAATTTCTAAGTTTAAAAGGGAGAGAACCAAACAAAAACGTATTGTCTTGTCGTCTTTGCCCTATTCTTGTTAACACAAGAATGTGCAAAGAGGAGCAGCTGTAGACACCCATTTTTGTCCGGGTCTTTTCTATTTAATTTTATTATTATTAGTATTATTATTATTTTATTAATATATATTACGCTTTTGTAGGCTTGGAACCCAATTACAAGGTCCAACCCAAGCCACCCCAACATATCAGTTCAAGCCCACCAGGAAGCCCAACATCAACCCAGCCAACCCAATTACAAGACCCAAGCATCAGACCCGCCTAGATTGGACCCGAATCAACCCGGTTCGACGACCCAGACCTGACCCGAGATGAATAGGGTTTCATAACCCTAACCCTAGCTACTGCTGCCGCCGCCGCTATATGATGTTGCTACCGACAGCCCCACCTGCATCCATCAAACAGTGACACTCAACAGTGGAAATGGCAGGAAAATCAGAAGAAAATATAAACATTTTAATATATCTTCCCAAGGCAAATCAAACCAAATCAAAAAAATAATTGCCCTACACTAGACATCATCATCTCACCAGAAACCTACATCAAAGCATCCATCAACCATAAAGGAACCATTCAATGATAACCAGAGAAAAGGGAGGAGAGGGAGCCATTCGGGTTTTGGGGGAAAACAGAAAGCAAAAATAAGAAGAAAAAAAGACGGATGGACCATTCTGGTTTTTTTTTTTAAAAAAAAAGGAGATAAAACCTATTTGAAAAAAAACCGAGAAGAAAAGAGAGAAAGAGAGAGGGTCTTTTACCTAGGTTCGAAACCAGGGAGCCCCAAAGTCACTGTGGTAGCCGAGAGGTCGCCGGAGCCATCTTTCCTGAGAGGTAAACAACCTAGATCTATGGGTTTAGGGGAGGTTTTTTAGGCAAAAATAGGTTGGGTTTCGAGTAGAGGGTGAGAGGGGAGGAGTTTTGGAGTCTTTTGGCCTTCTCCGGCCTCCGTCGGCCCCCCCGTGGGAGTCTCCGACTGTCGTGGCCTCTTTCTTTCTAGTTGAGAGAATTGAAAGAGTTTCAGAGAACTCTCTCTCTTCTCTCTTTCCAAGTGAGGCAAATGAGGGAATGAGAGGAGTTTAGGCTCGATTTTGGGCTTATATCGCTCGACTGAAACTACGACGTTTCATCAGGGACCTTTTGCGTGTTTTTAACGTGTGGGTTAACTACACTTTTGGTCCCTGATGCTTTGTAACCGTATTATTTAATCATTAAATAAAATTTTATTTTATTTTGTTTTGAGCACTTATGTTTCTGTACTTATGTTTTCGTCACTGATGTTAGATGGTGTATACTTTCTTTGAAATTTGAATTTGGCAAAGATAGTTGTAAACCTTTTATTTTAGTCACGTTATTATTAGTTTTGTTATTATTATCCATGTTTAATTTTGATAATGAGATTTGCAATTATCTTATTTTGGTCCTTGTTTTCAGTTGTTGTGTATCTTTGTTGACTATTTGAATTTGGTCATGTAATTTGTGATTCTTCTATTTTGGTCACTGATTAGGCATTTAGTTTAATTGTTGTTTGATCCTTATGTTTCTGTTTTATTTCATTTTAGTTCTTATTGTTATTTTTGGGCTATTTATATTTTTAGTAGTTATATTTTTATTTATAACTTAGACACTGGTTTATCTTGTAAGTACTATTTAGTCCTTTTAGTTTTTGTTTTTGGCATTTTGGTCCTTTAACTTTCTGTTATTGTTATTTTAGTATTTTAAATTCATGTTTTTGCTGTTTAGCCCTTGAAGATTCTGTTTTTACTATTTTAGTCCCCAAATTTCTTTCTCTTTTTTCATTTTGGTTCCTAAAGTTTCTATTATATCTAGTTTGGTCCTTTAACTTCCTTTATTTTGTAGTTTAGTCCCTAATATTCTATTTTTGTCATTTTAGCCCTTTTAATTTTTTTAATTACATTTTAGTCCCTTAAATGATTTATTTTGGTATTTTAGTTTGGTTTGTAATATTTAATTATTTTTATTTCAATCCTTTATGCATGTAATGTAAATGTTCTTATTTAATATTGTAAATATTTTATTTGTCATTTGCAATCATGTTTCTATTTTAATTCCTTAGTTGTTAATTTCATTCAAATATTTTTCAAGAACGCGAATTTGTAGAACGGGCGTGGAAAGTACTACTTGATCGAAGTGGTACAATCCAATACGACATTCAAAGAAATACGAACTTAAAATAAATCCATTTTCTTTTACTAATTAATTTATTTTAATGATGCAATGTGTGTGTTATTTTTAATTCACTATTTATTTCCTTTTATTCGAATGCAAACATCAATTTTATTTATATTCGATTCGCATATTTATCAATGAGGGAATATTCTTTTATCAACAAGAAATAATCGAATTAGCTTTCCCGATGGAAGATTACTAATTTCGATATTTCTTTTCGAGTTAAAGAATTTTTTATAATTAATTTATTCGAAGCAAATTAATTAAATTTCAATAAATGAATCACATCTTAACTTTACGTTCCACTTACGATTTTCACCATGTACGACAACGTGTAAGCGACACAGTACCAATTTTGGGCGCTGTGGGGGTGCTAACCCTTCCCCACATGTAAACGTCTCCCGAATCCATTCAAATCGAATCATTGGTTACGCAGACCAATTTTTGTCTTATAAAAATGATTTTTTTTAAAATTATTTTTTTAAAAGACGTTTTTAGGTATTCGACCTACCTAACCCAAAGGTCGATAGCGACTCCATCCATTTTAATTCCATATTAATCCAAATCACCCATTTTTTAAAATTAAAGTCATAACTATTTTTTAAAATAATATTTAATTACTTTCTAAAAAATGATTATGACACATTGTTTGATTTTAAAAATTTGTTGATAAATAGAAAGCTATCATGCAAAGGAGATGGCAATTGTGACTTGTAAGTGCCTACCTAACTGCCCGCCCCATCAATGGTGGTGGCACCCAAAGTTGGACCAGTTTTGGAATTGGTAGATTGTAAATTTCACTACACATTTTTCTTCTCATTCTTATTTCGTTCACTAAAGTTTGAAAATTCTAAATTTTAATGACCAAAATAAGAGTAAGAATAAAATTGAGTGATGGAATTTATAATTTACTCTTTTTTTGGAAGCGATCCACCAAAAGCAGATGGTGGAACACCTAGTAAGCAGCACCAAAAAGGAAACGGCTGCCCATTTGGTAGCTTCAGCGGCATAATTGAATATTTTTATTTAAATAAATAAAAATATTTTGATTTTTAAGCCAAAAATTAAATAAACTAGTTTTGAGGTTTTTATTTAAAATTTTAAATAAATATTCAAAATTCGTTAAATTGAAGAAAAATATTAGATTTTTCTTATTAATCTAGGTTGTAAGAGAATATATTTCATTAGCAACATCGGCATCGCAATTTATATTTTAAATATGAAGGCAAACGCGCCAAGGAAGCGCGTTGACCTTGTTCTTCTCTCTCTCTCTCTCTCTCTCTCTCTCTCTCTCTCTCACCAGAACCTAACATCGCGCACCGAGTCCAACCAACACGCTTTTCGAAATCTGCGATTCCTCGTGAACGTTTTCCTTCTCTCATGGCTTCGGAGCAGTACGGCGCCGTCTTCGATGGATCTCAGGACGACGACGAGGAGCCTTCGTCCTCCGACCACGAGCTCGACGAAAACGACAATGTTTTAAACGAGGAAGAGGACGAGGAATTATTGGAAGAAGTAGACATAAATTCCCCTTCTTTACTCCCCCAACCGATCGCCACCGCCGTTCCTCTCAACTTCTCATCTTCCACCGCCGTAACCATCGCCGCTGTCTCCGCCGAAGAGTTGCCTCCTGATCCCAAACGCCAACGCGTCGATTTCGCCGTGGAAGAGAAAAAAAAACCTCCGCCGCCGCAATTGGACGATTCGCGACGGCTATTTCAAAGGTTATGGACAGACGGAGACGAGATCGAGCTTCTCCGAGGGTTTCTTGATTACTCAACGTTGAGAATGAACTCAGGTGCTGCTTCTTCTCACCATCATCATCATCTTGATACGGCTCTGTTTTACGATCAAGTCAAATCGAAACTCCAGCTGGACTTCAACAAGAATCAATTGCTGGAGAAGCTTCGTAGATTGAAGAAGAAATATAGGACCGTGATGAGTAAGATCAGTTCAGGTAAAGAAATTTCCTTCAAAACTCCTCATGATGAAGCTACTTTTGAAATTTCTAGTAGGATTTGGAGTAATATTGTGGGCAAAGTAGAAGATAATGTTTTAGATGATGAAAATAACAATAATAAAATTAGTTTAATAGATGAAAGTCAGGAGAAAAAGAATTTTACACCGAAATCAACTGCCATGAAGAAAAGGGCTAGAAATAAAGGAGTGAAAATGGAGGAGAAAAGAGTTTTGAACGATGGAACTCTAATTACCAATAGTAACTATAATGATAGGACTGATAATGATAATGATAATGGTAATGTAGAAGGATTTAGTGGAGGAGGAGTTAATGTGGCGGTGGGGGTCATAGAGGAGACCGTGAGGAGTTGTTTAACACCAATGTTGAAGGAGTTGTTAGGTAGTGTAATGGGAGGAGGGGGATATGGAGGAAGAGGGATTAGTCAGTTGGCTATGAATGCAATGCCGTTGAGTTTCGGGGGAAGTTTGAATTTCTGTGGCGGTGGGGGTAATGCTGAACCGACGGACGAGAGGTGGAGAAAGTTGCAGATTTTGGAGTTGGAAGTTTATTCGAAACGGTTGGAGTTGGTGCAGGATCAGATTAAGGCAGCATTGGAGGAGCTTCGATCTATAAACAGGTGATTGCCTATTCCAATGAGGGATTTGGTATCTCTGGATACCCTATACAGTGTAGTGTAGGGAAGTGCAACTGGTTTTTGAGTGTATTCCACCGAAACGAACAGGTAGGGGAACAATGAGATTTATGGTAATTTAGTGTTTGAATCAATAGTTTCTTAATTTTCATACATGGGTTGGGATGATCAATACAATGCAAGTATCCAAAAACCATGACATCGTAGGACTTGAATGGATTCAACAGCTTGCATTGAGTTTCTTTTTCGATTGAAATGAATATTTTTGTTTTAATGGATTTCTTCTTTAGTTGTTCTCTTACTATGATTTGAGTTAGGAGAATAAAATACAAATGCTATCATTGATTTAATGCAATACAGAAATCCAGAACTAGATTTTATGGTAGGAGGCGAATTTATAAAGTTTTAGGATGAACGAACCTATAAAATTTTAGAGGTGATAACATATTTTCAATAAAAATACAAAAAAAAAACATAAATTGGATTAAAATTTGAAATAATCCGTCCCTACTACTACTTGAAATAGAATTAGCAATGATTGCAATAGAATTAGCAATGATAAGGGTAAATCTTGAATTAAAAATTATATCTTCTCAGCTAACACACACAACTGGGTGGCTTTGCCAGTTTTGGCTCCTACTACTTGCTCAACCGTACACTGAGAATAGTAACAGTCCGTATCACCCGAGATTGTCGATCTATGCAAATTATGATGACGCCTCCTATTGTACAACTTCTACTTAAATATATAAAAGAAAAAGCTTCAGAAGCTTTTAAAACAACAGACATTCGATTAATCCTTCTGGTATCAACACAACAGTCCTAGTTTCGGTCGTATGATGGACGGATCAGATGGTAGTGTGTGACCTATAAGTTAAAATTTCAGAGAAGTTGACGGCTTTCAATTAGTGGAATGTACATGCCTGTGTCACAGGAACAGGCAACAAGTCTATCTGATATAGTGATCACTGCTGTTTACAGGATCGGTCACTCCCTGTGGACGAGACTTAATCTGATAAGCCTTCTTTTGCTGCTTCTCGTTAGCTTCACTTGATGCATTTTCCTGTTTTCTAGTATTTACATTCACTGGATTACTGATCTGCATATTGGGTGGTGTGGGAGGAGTACCGGTGTTGTTCCCAGACCAGATGTCTAAATTCTGTGACTATCCAGAATTTGGCATTTTTGAAGACGTCACGTGTGCTCCTCTGCCCCTTCCCTCAAACGTCACAGTAGACATTCCCTCCAGCAAATCATAATACCGTTCCGGATTCTGTACTCTACCCCGTGTCCTGAAGTTTCTGATTTGCATACCATTTGATGATGGATGCCTTGGGTTAACCATTATCCGTTGTGGATGACTGTATTGGCCATGATAATTTACGCCATTACCATATCCCCCTTCATAACTTGATGGTCCAGCTGCACGTGGCTGGCCGCTATAATAATAATTTGGATCATCAAGATAGCCCCTCTCATAACCCGATGCACCTGCAGGTCTTGGTCTAATGTTGCTGCAGTTGCTTGAGATATCAAAAGATGGTTGCTCCACCGACCAAGAGGATGGCCTGTTTGATTTTACATCGTGTATTCTTGACATGACGATGAGCTGCCTCTCCTAGCTGAGGCCGAATTTTTGCTCCACGAATTAGTGCCCTGTCAAACAAGTTCAACAATGAACATCATGGTAACCAACGACAGTTTTGAAGGCCTTTGAATAAATTCTGAGGACATTCTGAACGGCAAACAGCAAACCGAGGGCAAAATTTACTAATATGTAAGATCTCCAAGATCATGCATATTCCATGAAACTAAGATAATGCATTCTCACCGATCTTTGGCTGGCTGGCGCCGGCCACCCTTGTCCTCGTGCCAAAATACAGGAAAAGGTTTGATGTCCCATGGTGTTAGAAACTTCAAGAGTTACATGTTTAAAATTAAACATGGGCGATGGATCCATGATGTTTCGATAATGTTTCTCAGAATTAAAGAAAGGACTATAGAAGTTACATGGTAATCTTATGCATCCTTAAGTTCCCTTATCATACCAAATAAATTTCAAGCAATGAGTAAATCAACAATTATACATACCTTGTTGGGTAGCGCAACACCCTGTGGAGGTTTTGGAATGTGTTTTTGATCTGAAGGACTAAGATACGTGATATTCCTGCAAACTGAAAATGAATGGAATGAATAATTAGGATCAACAGAATTGTAGGAGCTTTCAAGACAAAAAGGGTATAAGAACCTTGGAAGACTCACAACTTGTTTAACTTCAATATCCGGCAACCCCTTGACAGGGGAAGAGACAACATAGTTCCAACCGTTCCTTTCAGATAACCAAAGAAATCCATTCATTCCACCACTGTGAAGGACAATAAATGTGGATGTAAAACCAACAGATGTTCACACTCAATTAATTATGAACAATGAGATTAACCAACCTAGCATTTGTGTCTATTGGCCATACGAATCTATCATGAGGGAGTAGTTGATAGTTAATTTGATAATATGAAATAACTTGTGAAGCTAAAGGATGAAGGGGATGTACATAGAGCAGACCAAGCATCACACTATTACGAAGCTGCTCTTCAGCCTGCAGATATAACCATAAGGGTTAGCATAATGAATCAACAAAAACATTTTAATGACAAGCAAGTGAAATAAAGACGACTAGGATATTTTGCATGCGTCATTCAGAAATTAAGCTTGCTATTCTAGAACAACAATTCGTTGCAGAAAGCAACTTCTTCTCGTCGATGAATGGCAATTTGACAATACCCTGAATGAAAAAATGAAAAAAAAGAGGGTAAGAGACTAGTATTTTATGTTGAATTGGATAAGAAAATAAATAAAAAAAACTTAACATCGTAGATAAGATCAAAAGAATATACCTGCCACGCGAAGCGTTTACCATGCATATCAATCTCAAAATCTGTCACATAGAGAAATCTTAGTGAGATTGAGAGGAATATCACAAGATAAACAGATCACCAGGAGTTGACCGACATTTTACCAGTGGGATAAAAGTTACAGATAGGTGATAACGGATCAGTCATCAGTTTCCCATATTCTTCTGGCAAAGCATTAGAACTGTAACATGATAGAGATGAAATAGTATAAAGCACAAGCAACTGTAAGCCAGAATAAAAATGAGCTATTTGAAGTAAAACACTTGTACACAACAAAAATATATAACTAAAAAAAACCTGGCAGCTGGCAGTGTTCCTATGAGCTGGCCAAAGGGTTTAAATGGCTCTCTCATGGAAAATGTTATTTCCAAATCAGCTAGATCCTTAAGATCTGAAGCAAATGGAGCATAATGGTATGGATAAAACCTGAAGGAACAATGCAGATGCCACTTTAAACCAACTAAATAAAAAAGCCATAATGCAAGACACGTAGCATATGTAGAATTATTTGTTAGACAGTTATACAAGACATATATATAATTCAGAAGCTAAAGGAAAAGGGTATCAGGTACCAAAACCCTACTTCCCTTGATCATGATTAAAACCTAAAATTATAAGTTGAAAGAATCTCTGCTGTTTACAAAAACAACAATTAATAGCATTAAGGGCGTGCTTGAAAGTGGAAGGATGAAAAGAGTAGAGTGGAGAAATGAGGACAAAAAAATTGACTGTGCTCGGGAGGGGAAAATTGAAAGGAAAGAAAATAGCAAAGATGACCATTTTCCATTATAATTTAAACAGTTAATTTGAATAGGAATGACAAAAGGAGAAGAGCGCATATTAACAAAAATTATTCATTTTTTAATATCATTTTCTCCTTTCCCTTTTCAATTCTACCATGCAATTTATGGAAAGAAATGACTTTATTCTTTCTATTTTTCCATCTTTCCAGCCAAGCACACCAATGGATAGAAAAAATAATTTTTGCCTAAGTGAACTTTTGCATGGATAAGACTATCTCTTTCTGATATTTACCACTAATGCATTCATATATATGATGCCAATCTGAGCTAATACCTTTTTCAATTAACAAGATGAATGCAACCATAGAATAATAAAAGTATGAGGAGGCGAAAGGATGCATATTGCATAAGCCATCGCCAAGTGAAGATAGGTATGCTTATACTTGACCATATAGTATTAGTTCATTCAGTTTATCAAATGAAAGATGGTAGGTACAGTAGATACACCATTTTCTTCCCATCCACCAGAAACTAACCATTTCCAGGCAACTGTTGCAGATATTCAACCCGGATAACACATGCTCAACATATTTTATGAAACTCATCACATCGACCTGACAAGTTTAATATGCATCAGATTGTCTAAATCCCAAAATAATTCTCCACTGCCTATTTTTAAATTTTTTTCCTTCTGCTTTATTCTAAAAAATTAAGCGTACAAATGTTTTCACTTCCTATTCGAACAAGAGACGTACATGTATCGAGACATATACGTAGTACTCTATTTTAGAATAAATGGAATTTACAAGAGACGTACATTGCGAGCATATACATGGGATATCAGACATAAAACTATATTTATACTTCATGTCTTGCTTTTAGCACGTCGGATTTCGGCATGAATACTCAATACTCTTAGGAAAATGAAAGGTTAAAAAAGTGATCTTTTAATGTTGGAACCGAACGGTGGGTGTTACCGAGAGCGATACTTGTCGCTGATAGGGGTGTATTCGATTCGGTTTTTTCAGTTTAGTTACTCTATTCCAATCTTTAGCTCAATTCGATTTTCTCAGCATTTTCGGTTCTGTTATCTCAATTTAGTTATTCGATCCTAATCTTTGGTTCAGTTCGGTTTTCTCAGTTTAATTACTCGGTTCTAGTCTCCGGTTCGGTTTTCTCAGTTTAATAACTCGGTCCTAGTCTTGGGTTCGGTTTTCTCAATTTCGTTATGAACCAAACCCTAGCTTGAGGTTTGACATATGAAGAATATAGAACGTAGTTGTTTGTCAAAGCAAGCAAGCTGGACCTCCATTGAAAACCTGTCTTCCGATCAGTAATTCGGATTGCCGGAATTGATGATGTTAATCGGTTTGCAAGAACGGTGGACTAATGAAAACACCATTGGTATAACAGAAAACACCCAAGTCAGAATCAATAGATCACCACCCCTATGAACTTATAAACTAAGATTGAACGAGGGCCGAGCGAACGCAGGCCCCCATTGCCACAAATTACGACGTAGGCTCTCCCACTTTGGGGAGACGATAGGCGAGCGCCCCTCCCAAGTGTAATGGAGGTCGTTAACCTAGGCCATGAGTCATAATGATTACCTATTGACCCCGTCCTGGTAAAATAGAGACGTGACTCAAAAAATGTATAGAAATAAGGCATTTATATATATAATTATCCTAAAATATATAAGAAATAATTATATTATATCTCAAGTTAGGTTGGAAAATTTTCAACCTAAACTTGAACTCGATTCAATCTTATCCTTTAAAAAAAATTATTCGATACGAATTCAAATATTCGAGAAAAAATTTCTATCTTATAAAATCAGATCAAATCAAAATCCATCATATTCCAATCCCATATACATCCCTCGTCCAGCAATGTAGTTAAATTGATTTTTTTAATAAAAACATAGGCTATTAAATAAAATGTATAATGCTAAAAAAAATGCTCCTAACATTTAACTGAATAATCACTTCAATTCATCACTTTTGACACATGACATGTATCACGTCATCATTTTTTATAAATGATATGTATTACATCATCACTTTTTACATATAGTATGTGTTATATCATCACTTTCGATACACTACACATGTTATGTCATCACTTTTGACACGCGATATATATCACATTACCACTTAAGACACGTAATAGTTTTACGTCAACGACATATATTAGTTGTTAGTCAATTAATAATTTTTATTAAATTAAAAGAAAATTTATCTCAAAATGAAATATTATAATTACTACAAAATTAAATGAATTAAAATAACTATTTTAAAAATGTTTGACATTGTACTTCAATAAAAAAAATTTAATTTATTTCTTGATTTTCAAGTGCAATCTTAACCTCAAATTCTCGTATGGGCCAGTAATTTTTTCATTCAAACTAGGAAAAGCCCAATAAAATATTGTGCGGGCTCCACCTTAATTCGGGAAACACATTCCTTGTTTCACAATCCAACACGTGACATCGCACGTGCGAAAACAGTCTCATTCCTCCAACGGATCTCTCACTCGAACGGACAACAAGATCTACAAAGCTCACTTTCTTCATTTCTGCGATCGGGCTCTTCGATTTCGATGAATTAATTTACAATTTTTTTTCAATTCTTCGCTAACATTCGGTGGTTACTGATCCATTCTTATTCACGGATTAGAAAGAGAGCCAGACGGAGAAAGAGAAGGAGATCGCTCTGAGGAGATGGCTTTCATGTCTGTTCTTGAATCCGATCTCCGCGCTCTCTCCACCGAAGCACGACGCCGCCACCCCGCCGTAAAAGACGCTGCTGAACACGCCATATTAAAGGTCACAATTCGCTTTTATATGCTGCTATTTTAGTAAAATTATTGTCCAAAATAAATAATCTTACTTTTTTAAAAAATAAAACTTTTAATTTTTTTCTTTTTCTCTTCGATATTTGTTTTATTTTTAAAATTATTGTATAAAATAAATATTTTTCATATAATATATTTTTATAGCGTTATGTGATCATAACTTTAATACGATAGCAGTGAGCTATCGATGATAATAAAGACAAATATTTTACTTCAATGCGAGTAAAAGGTAGTATTTTATTATCTGTCATATATATAAAAAAATTATACAAAATTCATCAATTTCAGTGCCTTTATTGAACAATAAAACTAAAATCAAAATGGTAAAAAAATAAATATATCTTTTAATATTTGAATTTCATTTAAAAATTACGATTTTTCTCTGTATAGTTAATCTGATTTCAAATTTTAATTTAATATTTAAAATATTTTTATTAAACTATGTGTTTGAACTTAATTTATTGATCAAATTGATATATGTATGTATTTGACTTTTATCTAATTTGATACTTATTGGTCAAAAATGATACAAATTATTTCACTGTGTAATGTTAATTTTTGGAGAGAGGGCGGCCAATTCCATGGCGCTTTCTAAGGAAAGCAACAAACAAAAGGCAGCCCGTGGCTCCAATGCTTGCAGGCAACACCATCAGCCACAACTCACTGCTCTCCTCTTCCGTCTTCGGACGAAAGCAGTTGACGACATTTCGGTCGAACAAAACAAGCGCCATGAAAATGATTGCGGACACCAAAGCATGGAGAAAATCAATGAACTTGAGCCTGTACTTGTTGGCCTCCTCTACGGAAAGTTCAACCTTGCCATCCATCACCCATATCCCTCTAAACGTAGCGACCCCGTATCGGACCTTGCCCCTTTCGTCTCTGTAAATATCGGTGAACGAAAGAAAGAAACACACGCCAGCCCAGAACGTCACGACGCTGAGCACCAAGTTTTGGCAAAACTCGGTTCTGCATCGGCCGTTGTTCGTTAAGATCGGGGACAATAATTGGAACGTGAGGGCTGAACCTGTAGGCAGAAGCCTGGACAGAATGGCGGTTCCTTTGAACGTCTTTCTTACGATCTTTTGTTTCTTGGTTTTCGGTTGCTTTAATATACGATGTAACAATGGACATCCCGACACGGTTTGTGGCTCTTCTCCGACCGTCTCTCCGGCTCCCGGCTCCATGTTCTTCAAGAGAGGTTGTTCATGTTCTACAGCTTTGATATCCATGGCACAGATTACTCTAGCTTTCTTTGATCTTTCCACAATATGTAATTTGCAGAGATATGTTAAATGAGATCGATGGATTATTATTATACTTCTCTGAAAATTTGAAACCGAAAAAAAAAGGTTTAGCCATCTGTTTCGATGCTGGAAAAGAAGATAGTTTTATCAGTTGCAACTCGCCATAGTTGGAAATCGGAAGCATTTGCAGGGAAATGAAAACCGCCGTTAAACTAAGTACATCGGAAGCTGTTGAGAAAAAATATCAGTAAATTTGGTGGTTTTAGAGAGATGGGGATTACGACTTACAAACCATAATTGATAATTAAAGCACCTCAGTTCCACAAATTTAGTTCCAAGACAAGCATCCAACAACCCTCTCTATATCAATATATTATATACTGGGATGGACCGACGGACTAGCGAGAGCGGTCGTCCCCGAAAATTTAAGTACAGCGCTGGCATGTACTACAGTTAAAGAAACTTTTCTACCATTGATGATTTCATTTAGTCGACATACAAATCAAACCAATTACATCTCCTCACAAACCAACACATTATAGCACAAAAGGTTACCCCCAGAATCTACCAAAGCAGTAAGATTTATCACACAAGCCCAGCATACCTTAACCAGACAAGAACCTTCATCCCTGACAAAGACAAATAAATCCTGAAAAACCAACATTCTGATGGATTGCTATCGTAGTAACATTGTTCGGCTGCCGATTTCAATCGACTAGGTTGGCGATTTTCGAGTAGTTCTGAGATTGTTAAGATGCTTTCGGACTATTATTTTAGGTGAAATCAGTTTCAGTGGCCTTTTTTTTTTATAGACTTTCTATCATTGAAGCTGTAATCCGTTGCGAAATCGACAGCCAACACGTTTAATTAATTCAGGTGACATATCCCAGTCGGATTTGTGACTTTGCATTGTGTGCCTCGGTTCTGTTCCACACCTCTCCAATACCCCAACTCTATCGATCCTGTAGCGTATTTCTTCGAAATCCTAGGCAACAACGGTTTGCCTCTTTCCCATCTCAATATCAAAGCTTCTTTTTGGCCTACCTGCGGTCATGGTCATAGGCCGAAATGACAGTGATGAGCCAAGGAGAGAATATGAGTCCACCTTGACCTTTTCCCTCAAGTTACCTATGGACTTGGGAATTGTGGACAGGAACACCTCAAATATGTTGCCAATACAACGACGGTTGTAAGTATTCCTGTTTGAATCGTAACGATACCGGAAATTCTCGTACGTTGTCTGCAAAAACATACAATAAGAAAGGCAGAGAGAGGACAGACAATAATGAAAGAAATGAAGGTATAGACGAGACCGGAACCTGTTTGGTAAAAATCAAATAGAGATGGACCACAGTGAGGCCTCCAACAAACCAAGCAGTCATTAATGTATATAGTATAGGAACTGCAGAAACCGGTGACTTCACCAATGGACTCCACAGATTACAACGATAGTCAGCCATTATTTCCTTAACGTACAATAAATTAAAAATAATTTTAATAATAAAAATGAATGTTATTTTTTTTAATTTTCGAATTCGAACGAATGAATATACAAGATGCGTATTATTAATAATTAAAAGATTCTAAACAATAAAACTTAGTAATCAATCTAAACTATTAAAAAGATTTAAATTTCATATTTAATGAATAAATTAAAACTAAAATAAACTGTAGTATATTTATCCTTGAAAATTATTGATCCCATAAATGACTTGGACCCTTGACTCCACGTGTGAAAATTCCAATGCCAGCGTATTTTGTTCCATTGGTTGGTCATTGTTAAGAGTGGGTAAAACTTCTCTCAACTTCAAAAATCGATTTTTTACTCGGTTCGACTCGAAAAAATTTGACTCAAATTTATTTCGATTTATAATTTTATAAATTCGATTCGAGTCTAAAAATTTTTAAGTTCAAATCGAGTTATAAAATACAATTCGAAATTTTTAATAATTAGTTTGTTAATTTTAAGTTTAAGTCGAGTCCCCGGCTCTGTATAATATATATATATTACATATGAAAAATATGAATAAATATATATGTATTATATATGATTATAAAAAATCATTTAAATTAAAATTAAATAATATTATAAATATTTATAATTAAATTTAAATAAAACTAAAAAATTCCACTCGAAGTTTTTAAACCCGATTAAAAAAATTTAAAGTCAATTTTAAATTGTAAAAATAAGATTCATCAATTCGAATGATTTAAAATTATTTTAATCGGCTCGACTTTACTCGATACTTACACGTAGTCATCGTCGTATGAAAGCGCGTGTAAACAAAGGATGATATTGAATGGCAACTTCGTAGATAATTCCAAAGTAAAGCCTTATTATTACCCGCCAAAATAATATACCAAATCACCAATACAACGCCGTTAAGCTACCCTCTTTACTCTCCCGACATTCTGTTGACCATTTCAAAAAAGAGAGAGAGAGAGAGAGAGAGAAAATGCAGAGTGAGGAAACAGAGAAAGCCAAGAAGATGAAGAAACGAGAAAAAATGAAGCACATTTTTAAGAAGCTTCAATTTGGAGGCAGTCACGATCCCAATCGTCCTTCCACCACCGAAACGTTGCCGTCCGGTGAGACCGATAATCCACGCACCACGTCGGAGTTCTCTCCGGCGAGTCCTACTTCATCATCTCCGGTGACTACTTCAGTTGTTCCTGTGTCGTCGAGCATGGGTCTCAATACGCCGTCATCGGCTGTGGCCGCGACGAATCGAGCGTCGGATTATATGTTATCGGAGGAAGAATTTCAGGTTCAGCTAGCCCTAGCTATTAGCGCTTCCAATTCGGAGGATAGGAAGAAGGATCAGATCCGAGAGACGGGTTTTTTGAGTTTAGGTGATCATCATCAGATGGATTTAGGGGTAGGGAGGGGGGATAAGGATGACGTGGCAGCTGAGGCTTTGGCCAGACAGTACTGGGTAAGTGTTTTGGTTTGGTTTTCTTATGATTTCGGAGGTTTGAATTGGACTGCATGAGCTTGTTTTGCTTGGTTCAACTGGTTAAGTTTCGGATTGTTTGATTAGGGCAAGTTACTGTATTGAATTTCCGCGTAACAGCTTGAATTGTTCGTGCTTTTACTGGAACAATGGCAGTTTATAGTGATCGTTGCTATTTTATCTGTTTTTTTATCTCATGATGAAGTGGGCTGTGGACTCTTGCTTGTGAAATTGTGGCGGATAAGCTGGGAATAGTATCTACCTTTTCATTTAGTTACTGCTAAAGATTTATTTTTGAATTGATTGATTAGGGCAAACTATGGTTTAGCTTTTATTTTGGATTCTTAGATAGGGTGGACTTTCCTGGAAAAGCTTGAATTAATGGTTTATACAACTTATTTCATATCTTCTTTTGATTAAATTTTGAACTTGCATGAATTGCTAACAAAGAATGAAGTGTCTGGAAAGTGAAAACTAAATCATGGTGTATTCTTGTGAATGAGCTTTAGCTTTTATTGTCAGCGTTTGACTTTACTGGTGTTACAGTTTGAAATTTATCATATTAGGACAAGTTACTGTTAGAGTTTTGCTTCTTGCTAAACTGTGTAGGGTAAGCTTGCGTTGCAGCTATCGTTTAGTTTTCTTGTAATGATCAATGTTTACAAATTTAGGATTTAATCCGTAGCTTGGAAACCCTGAAGGATACTAATGTTAGCAGAAATTGTTTTGTGGACTTAATAGAATCGGTTTGAATTTCCTTTAATAGTATGCTTGTGTGTGCTCTTAGTCATGGCCTCAACCTAGGCTGTCTTGTAATTTCTTTCAATGTTTCAATCAATGGTTTATTTATTTTAGTTAAACCCATAAACATTTTGATTTCTTCTATTACTAGATTTGGATCGATTCTAAACCTTGGGAATGTAATGATTTACTGTTTGGAACTTGAATACGGTCATTTGAACTGAATGAGTCTTCCATCCTGTCATATGTTGCTATCTCTTGAGTTATGTAATTTGGATTGACTAGTTGGGTTGTTTTGGTCCACCAGGAATACAATGTGCTTGATTATGAGGAAAGAGTGGTGGATGGTTTCTTTGATGTATATGGGCTTTCCACTGATTCAGGAACCCAAGGAAAAATGCCATCTCTTACTGATCTTGAAGCAAGTCTTGGAAATTCTAGCTTTGAAGTTGTAATTGTGAAACGAACAATTGACCCGGCCCTAGAGGAGTTGTTGCAAATTGCTCACTGTATTTCATTAGATTGCCCTTCTACTAATGTTGGTATCTTAGTTCAAAGGCTTGCCGAACTTATAACAGGGCATATGGGTGGTCCTGTTAAAGATGCTAATATGATTTTGTCCAAGTGGATAGAAAGAAGTATTGAGCTTAGAACATCTCTTCATACAAGCGTGTTGCCTATTGGATCAATAAATATAGGCCTGTCTCGGCATCGTGCTTTGCTCTTCAAGGTGAGTTTTTATATTTTTTTTTTACTTCCAGAGTGGCTTTACTCTTGGAAGCGGAAATTGCCTGCCTTTGAAACTCCAAAATAACTATGATATCACTGGATGGTTTAATTTTGTTCTTTCATTGTTGTTCCAAGTACTTATTGTTTTGAATAGGGTATCTGTTTATATTCAATTTTTGTGTGTCCTTTTAATGTAGGTGTTGGCAGATAGCATAAGATTACCTTGTAGACTGGTAAAAGGCAGTCACTTCACTGGCGTTGAGGATGATGCTGTAAATATAGTAAAACTTGAGGAGGAAAGGTTATGGTTTCTGCTTATTTCTTAACCTGCAATCTTTACTTTTATTTAGGTCTAATCTAGTATTTTTGTTTCTTCAGGGAATTTTTGGTTGATCTAATGGCAGCTCCTGGTACACTTATACCCGCTGACATTTTAAGTGCAAAAGATACTACTTTGAAGTCATACAATCCAATAATGAACAACATACCAACTCTTCAGTCACCTGGTGATGTTTACTCAAGAGAAAGGCCACTTAAAGGTGAAGGTAGTAGTCACCATCCATTGATCAATAGCAGTAAGCCCTTTGATTGGGGGTCAAGTTCTGGAACTGCAGAAGTGCTGCCTTCATTATCAGGCCCAAGTCGTGATTCTGGTGTTGGTTCTTCTGGATTTTCTAACAGAGTGACTCCTAATCAGTTGGATCATCTTCCTTCAACTGCTATTGGAACTTTAGTCTATAAAGGGAGTCGTGGTGCCAATGCAGTTGGTGATGGCCAGAGGATGAATGTTAATGTGGTGCCATATGGTCAGAGTAGTCAAGAGGACCCCAAAAATCTTTTTGCAGATCTTAATCCATTCCAGATAAAAGGTGCAGGCAAAACTTCCCATCAGAATAAATCTACAGAGACCAAAATTGACGAGTTTCAGAGACAACCAAATAATGTAGTGGGGCGACCCCCAGTACCATTGATATGGAAGAATCGGCCTGTCTATAATGAGGTTCCCCAGAAAAAGTACAATTATATGGAGGGCCACTTCCCAAAAGTCAATCGTGAATCTAATGATTTTAATCAGTCATCAGCAAGCCCCTCCAGCTCCATCAAACCTGAAAAGGTCTACACTCATGGTGTTAAGCCTCATGCTGGCTTGGATACATCGAATAGAAATGATAAAGTCCGCAATCCTTTGTCTGATACTGCCGCATATTTGGCATCCACTACCAGTCAGTTCAATATCTTGCAACCGGCTGAGGACGCAAGCTCTAAATTTAAGGAGCATGTCACAAACGAACATGATTTACCAAATAACACTGTGGATTTGGTTAATGAGCAAGATAATGAGATTGGTTTCGACAGTTATAGAAAGCATGCCCATGATAGATACATGGGAAATAATCTCAAATTGAAGGATCCCGAAAGTCCTAGTTCATCCTTTGATTCTGGTGTTGGTTCTTCTGGATTATCTAACAGAGGGACCCCTAGTCAGTTGGATCATCAACTATTTGATGATGTAGATGTTGGTGAATGTGAAATTCCTTGGGAAGACTTGGATCTTGGGGAAAGAATTGGAATAGGTAATGGATTTGGCTCATTGATGTTAATTACATGCAACAATTTTTGTTATGCATAGATAATTTTTTATGAATTGAATGTTGACTCAGCTAATCATACTTATATAGTTGTGTTTGTTATTGTAATTTGTTCCCCCTTTTGGTATTCAAGAACTCTTCTCATTCCTCTTGAAAACATAAAAATTTAAATAGAATAACTAATTCTGATACTGGCTTTGCTTGAAGTTTTACATTTTCTTTTTGGAAGTTATCTAATTTCTATTAAATTTTGTTTTCTTGAGAGTAGGTTCCTATGGAGAGGTCTATCATGCTGACTGGAATGGCACGGTTAGTTTATTAATACTCATCAATCACAGTTTTCACCTTGTATTTCATTTGGTGCTGCCCTTGTTTAGTGTTAATTAAGTTGAGTTATCTGGACAATTATTTGCCAAATGCCAAAGGCATAAATAGTCAAAACTTTTAGCCCAGTCTTGAATGTATCTGTGTATATACTTTGCTAAGTGTGTTTTCCACCATTATATTTAAGAGTTGTTTTCAAAATTGAAAGAACTAGTAGTTTCTAATTTTGTTGGTGATAACTGATAATGGTCATTGGACTCCAGGAGGTTGCTGTCAAGAAGTTCCTAGACCAAGATTTTTCTGGTGCTGCTTTGGCTGAGTTCAAAAGAGAAGTAAGCAACTTCAAAGCGTTTATATTGCTGTCTCAAAATGATAGTAAAATGTGTTTTTAGATATTTTATTTTATTCATTTGTAACTGGCAAATATCCTTGCCTAAGGTTATGCCAGTTAAACAAGTCCATATCCCTGATCCTGGATTATGTTTCTCTCTTTTATTAGGTGCGAATAATGCGTAGACTGCGTCATCCAAATGTTGTTCTTTTTATGGGTGCTGTTACTCGCCCTCCTAACCTGTCTATCATTACCGAGATTCTTCCTAGGTAAGAGTCTGTTCCTGCATATCCTCTGCTTACCTTTTAACAATTTGAACTTTATGCAAACTAATGCACGGATGGAATGAGATTGGCAATCTAAATTTTGCAAATGTTATTTGGTTTTCCAGAGGAAGCTTATATAAGATTATTCATCGTCCTCATCCTCAAATTGATGAGAAACGTAGAATTAAGATGGCTCTTGATGTGGTATGGAACTAATAACAGTTGCATTTTTTTTACTTAGCATGTGACCAGCATATTCATATCTGTTTCCATTGGGCAGGCAAGGGGCATGAATTGCCTACACACTAGCATACCTACCATCGTTCACCGTGATTTGAAGTCTCCTAACCTTTTAGTTGATAAAAACTGGAATGTAAAGGTAAATGATGATTCTATGTTTTAGTTTTTGTGCTTCTAAACATTTCTTACTGTTTTTAAGTTCTATTCACTAAGTAGTCTCGACCTACCTGTAACCATTGCAAAATGGATAGGATACAGCGGGTCTGTGATTACAATGCACCCTTGAAGCATAATACCTTCCTATCATCCATATTGACTGGCTCTGATTGTTTACAAAACTGAACCGTGCAGGTGTGTGATTTTGGGTTGTCACGCTTGAAACATAATACCTTCCTATCATCTAAATCAACTGCCGGAACAGTCAGTATCTTAGCCTGCTGAGCAATATATTATAAATTCCGAAGATGTAGATAGAATTTGTAGCTTCAATTATATTAATTTTCTTTACGTCTCTGAATGAGTTGCCTTTCTTGTTTCAGCCCGAGTGGATGGCACCAGAAGTACTTCGCAATGAGCCCTCGAATGAGAAGTGAGCTGTTTCTTTTTATTCAATATTTCATTTATCTTTCCTTGCCCCTTTTCTCCTTGGTTAAGCTGACCACTTAATCCACTAGCATTTTGTTGGGTTTCTGAGAATACGAAGATAAGAAAATTCCATAATTATGCGTCTTTGTAACATTTTGTCCGCATATATGTGTTAAATTTCTTGTGGCTCACTGTTATTGGTGATGAGAGTTAGTGGCTCTGCTGCTATCGTCGTCTCGGATTTAAAAATGCCGAATCAGTAAAATAGCCAAGGCTCAGAACTAAGATACATCTTTTGTTGGATTTATAGATGTGATGTCTATAGCTTTGGAATCATTCTCTGGGAGCTTGCTACTTTGAGATTACCTTGGAGCGGAATGAATCCGATGCAAGTCGTGGGTGCAGTTGGTTTCCAGAATCGACGCCTCGACATTCCCAAGGAACTCGATCCTTTGGTTGCGAGAATAATTTGGCAATGCTGGCAGACGTTAGTATACAGAAACTCGAACTTTATAACTCCTCGTTTTGCTATGTCGGATCCAATCTAATCTACTTACCCTATTGATTTCCAGTGATCCGAGTTTGCGGCCATCATTTGCGGAGCTTACGGTAGCTTTAAAACCCTTGCAGCGGCTTGTTATCCCGTTGCATCAAGATCAATCAAGCTCACCTATGCCACAAGAGATTTCAGTAAATTCTACACCCTGAAATCAAAATCCTCAGTTCCTCAATTGTGAATAAGAAAGCTTTCTGTCCCTATCCCTTCAATGAGGTAATTAATGTATTTAAATGTTAAAAAAAGCTGCATTTTTGGAGTTCATGTTCATAGTTTTGTCCAAAAGAAGGGAAAAAAAACTTGTGGAGTGTATATTCCAGTACTCTTTAAAACAAAGGTAAAATTAAAACCGTTATTATAAATTTTAAAAAATTATTACTATTACTTTTAAATGTTTGGTTCCTTTTTTAATAGTATATTTTATTATTATTTAATTTTTGGTTATATTAAAACTAGGGATGAGCACGGGTCGTGTTTGGGTCGACCCGATCAGGCCTGAAAAACTATGCATCTTCCACTCGACCCGACCCGAAAAATATACATCATCCGCCCCATCCGATATTTTGAGATAAAATTCAAACTTGAATCGACCCGGAATAATATATTTATTAAAAAATATTATTTTTATTCAATAAAAATATAGATTTGCTTGAAAAAAATAATATAAGAGGGTTATTATTATAATTATATCTAAATATATAAAATAAGTTATATATTTTTGGGTCGGATTTTTTTTAAAAATCCGAACATAACTTCTAACAAATTCAATCTAACTTAAACCTGAATTTAAAAAAAATTGACTCGATTGGGTCGGAACCGTTGGGTTATAGTCTTGTGCCCATTTAAGACAAAGGTTTGTTATTATTTAATTTTTTGTTATAATAAATATATTAAATTTTATTGTATACTTGAAGGGAAAAAATAACCTTATGTGATAGTCATTCTCTTAAACAACAAGAAAATTTCCATAACCATGATAACTAAGAAAAACACTCAAAAAAAAATAAACAACTAAAACGGACGAAAAGTTGACAAAATTACCACCGAAAGAAGGATCATTGTATTTAGTCTAAATATTAAAATAAGTATCTAAATTATACCTTTTTTTTCTTTCTAAATAGGTGTTTAAACTATTTTTTTATTCATTTAGGTGCCTAAAGTTACAAACGCACCCATTTAGATATTTGGACCATCAACTACGTTAATTTCTCCCATTGACGTATGTCATAATCTGGTTTTATGAAATTTATTTTTAAAAAATATTATTATATTTATAAAAAACCTAATTTCTCTTAAATTATAAAATTGCCCTCAAATCCTAACCTTAACTCGCCGTCACCGTCCTTTCCGGCCATAGCCACCGCCGTCGACATAGTTTATGCCATCCTCCTAGTCATACGGCGTCATAGTTGTCGCAGATTGGCCATCGAAATAGCGTGTGATCTTAAATTTCAACCTAGGGTTTGCAGGGTATAAAACGTCGATCGATCACGATTTCATAGGGATTTTGGTCGTCAAGGGGATGGAAGGTTGGGTGGAGCTTCGTCGACGGCAAAGGGCGTCGGTCGGTGTAGGTTTAGGGTTGAAATGAAGGTTTTCAAAGTTTTGGATTTATTTCAAAATTTATGTTTTCGTCAACGATAAAGGGCGACGGCCGGTGTAGGTTTAGGGGTTGAAATGAAGGTTTTTAAAATTTTGGGTTTATTTCAAAATTTAAGTTTTCTTTATATATATAATTTTATTTTTTAAAATTTTAAATAAAATTTTAAAATTTACCCGATTGTAACACGTGTCATTTAACGGAGAAATTAACACCGTTGATGGCCCAACACATAAATGAGTAACATTTGTAACATTAGATATTTAGACGAGTCAAAAAATAGTTTAGATATCTATTTAAAAATACGGTATAATTTGAACACTTATTTTGATATTAAAACTTTTATTTATATACAACCAAGAGAAACCAAAGAAAGGTCAAGCGGTTTTGGGCCAAAAGCCTTCACCGCCGCCATGATCAGAATATATGAGCATTTGTTTTAGAAATCTTTTTTTTTCCCACTAAACTTATATATTTCTTATTAATTTGGATAAATATAAGATAATATTTACTCTAAAATAACTTTTAATTGTTTAATATTAAATATTTATGATATTCAATTCCACAAACGTAAGGAATACCAATTCCTTTATCTCCAAAGTTGTTTATTCGCGCTAAAAATTTTTATATGTTTTTTTATCAATCTAGAGTGATTATAAGTGGTGGTATCTGTTTTGAAAACTTTCAATCATTTGATAATAAATATTCGAATATTTTGTAAATTAATACTTAAATCCAAAATTTTAAAAATAATCATCATTTTTTTTATATTTAAACGTGCTTTGATCCGTTTTCGACTAATACGATATTAACGGGAGAAAGCAAGACATTAGTATATGCGGGGAAACTTCCACGTTAATGCAAATGGGAATGTTTAATTCCCAAAATAATGTTGTAATGCTATTATTTCCCCAAATGGGGTGTTTGTTACAGTTAAGTTTGATCTTCCGGTGTCTTCAGCAGATGCGTCTTTGCATAGAAGCTTGGAGCTCTCGGCGTCTTTGCATGGAAGCTTGGAGCTCTCGGTGTCTTCAACACAATTTCCATGCATGATGGATATCTCGACGTCTTTCATGTGTTTTTGCAGCCAAATGTTACACCAAAACAAGGAAACCAAAACCATGGATTTACTTTTGTTGCTTTATTGCTTATTGTTTGAGATATGGAGATTGTTTTAAGCTCATTATTTATGGTATAGAAAACTGGGTTTGATTTTGTGTTTCGTGCATTAGATGCAGGTTAAAGTTTATGAAGCAAATTCTTTTATGATCACTTTGAACAATGATGAGCTGTATTACTTCCAAGGATTGAGAAAGAACATTGTAATATCAGCCATTCGTTCATATCAAGCAGCAAGTGCATTATTAACCAAGCTGTATTATCAATTCGCAAAGTGCATTATTATTATGGTGTTCAACATCATCTCAAACACTGAAACCTGCTCTCATGTTTCATATGGGTTTCAGACTTTCCTGGTTTTGTTGTAACCTTTGGCTACAAAAACACATGAAAGACGTCGAGATATTCATCATGCATGTTGTGTTGAAGACGCCGAGAGCTCCAACCTTCCATGCAAAGACGCCGAGAGCTCTAAGCTTCCATACAAAGACGCCAAGCAATCTGGTGAAGACGCCGAGAGATCAAACTTAATTGTAGCAAATACCCCATTTGGATAAATAATAGCATTACAACATTATTTTGGAAATTAAATATTCCCATTTACATTAACGTGGAAGTTTTACGGGTGACATAAAAGATGGAGGACATATTATATTATATGTTATTTAGTTATTGTTAAGATTATAATATTATTAAATATTAAAATATTATTAGTAAGTCCTTTAATTAATTATATGCTGGGCCACTAGAATTTGGAAGCATTTTCAACAGAAACAAGCAACGCTTAAAATTAGGGATAAAGAAAATTTGATTTGAAAAATTAATTTGTTTATCAGACTTCATTTAAATTAATTTTCAGTTATAATTTTATTAACTCAAATAAAAAAAATTAAGTTCATATCAAGTTATAAAATACGAATAATTCGAGTGGTAGCTCGTTTAATTCGAAAATTTTAATAATTAGTAAATTGAATTTTAAATTTGAATCAAACCCTCGACTTTATATAATATATATAACATATAAAAAATATGAAAAATATATATATTTATATACAGTATATAATTGTAAAAATTATTTAAATTGAAATGAAATAAATATTAAAAATATTTATAATTAAATTTAAACATAATTTTAAAGGCGATTTTCCCGATATATCACCGGTGACCGGTAATATTACCGATCTAACACCGGTTAGACTATATTTCCCGATCTAACACCCTTAGCAGTAAAACGCGCCCCCTGCACCGCGCTATACGATGATTTGGCGCCACGTGGGGTATAGCGCGCCCCCTGCACCGCGCTATACGGTGAGCTGGCGTCACGTGGGTATAGCGCGGCCCCTGCAGCGCGCTATACCCCTAATTACCGACCCCTCCCCTCCCCCTCCCCTCCCCCATCCTTCCTATAAATACTCCCGTCCTCAATCACTTTTATCACACCAAATTCTCTCAAATTCTCTAAATTTCTCTCAAATACTCTCTTTTTAAGGTATATTTTATAATATTTTTACTATTATGTTTTTACTTTATTTAATATTTTACTAATATAATTCTTTTGCAGATATATAATGGAAGACAGTCTACTTCGCTCGGATAGAAATCATATATCTCTACACTTTGCTGATACGGTAACATTTTAACGTTTTAATTTAATTTAAATTATTAGTAATATTTAGTTATTTATTTAATGCATGATTATTATATTAATAATTAAATATCTCGACACTTTGCTGATACGGTAACATTTTAACGTTTTAATTTAATTTAAATTATTATTAATAATTAGTTGATTCATTTAATGCATGATTATTAGATTAAGAATTAATTTTTGTAATTATTTATTTTTAGGAGAAGGACCGTGTATTAGATCCTTTTATTAGGAATCTTAAGTTAGTGATACACAGTCGTGTCATGCCGTATTTAGTAGAGGCTGGATTCGGTTATATAGGTAGATATCAGGGTCACTGTAAGATAGAGTCATACCTGATTTCTGCCTTAGTAGAGCGGTGGAGGCCGGAGACCCACACATTCCATCTTCCGTGCGGAGAGTGCACGATCACGCTTGAGGATGTTTCTATGCACCTGGGGCTTCCGGTGGATGGAGATGTGATATCGGGGATAGCTTCCGATCCTTGGACTGCTTTGTGTCGGGATAGTCTAGGGCGTGTCCCGAAAATTTTTATCAGAGGTAGGATACCGTTAAATTTGTTAGATGCCAATTTTCGGGAGTTGAGCGCAAACGCCTCTGAGGATGAGGTTAAGATGTATGCACGGGCATGCATACTGCAGCTGATAGGAGGGTTGCTGATGCCAGACAAATCGCGCAACCTAGTTCACTGCATGTGGTTGCGACATCTTAGCGACTTTTGTCTCGTCAGATCATTTAGTTGAGGCTCGGCAGTTTTGGCTTTGCTGTACATGGAGATGTGTGGAGCCACTGACTACAGGCGTAATGCTATCGGCGGATGTCTCCTGCTGCTGCAGTCTTGGGCATGGTATCGATTGCCCTTTTTATGTCCCGTTGTGAAGAACCCATTCGTATTTCCACTACTTCTGAGGTAATTATAAAACTGATTTTGTATATTAATAATTTTATACAGCATATAACAAATTTTTTTCCTTGAATAGGTGGTCTACTGATAGGAAAAATC